TAAAATATACTGCCTTATGCTGCATTTATAGTAAACATGTTCTTCAAGCGGACGCAAGGTTATTACTCTGTTTTAAAAACTAATTTTATGATAAAGCTTAAATAGAGATAATTATTTTTATATAATACTTTTAAAAATCATAAATCTCTTGTCGAATTCGCACCATTTTTATAATCATATTGCATATTTTTTAATCATCGTATCGCGACATGTTTTTCAAATTTTATTTTGGCGTTATAATCATATTCATATTTACTTTATTGGCTTGATTTTGTAATAAAACGCATCATATACTATAAATGAGTATATAAAACAATGTATAAAATCGTTATTTCTTTTTTAAGCGCTATCTATGAATCAGCTGTGAATTCGATAGCATTAAATAGCGCGCTTACTATAATTAGGTTTAAATTATTCATAGTAATTTTATAAATTATCTCTGACTTTGGTATCATATTTATTATAAAATATTATTTGTTCTTCCTATCAATTATAATTATATACATATTTTATTATTTTGTACCTTTTATTTATCTGTAATTGTTAAAAACTTTTTATTTACAAAGCTTAAATAGAATACATTCACATTACAGAGCCCTGTAAGCATAATTTTTTTGGCTCTACCTGACCTAATTACTATTCATTTTGATGCCCAACATGAAATTTTTATTTATTGTCCAAGACTACCCAAAGTTTCTAGAAAAATATAAACACATTTTTTATAGAGTTAAATAAAAGTTTTTACAAGTATCATTTTCATAAATAATTGTAAATAAAGATACAAAATTTAAAATAAAGCAAATTGTCTACTAACATTAAAAATTTTATTTTACTAAAAGATGGCAAAACTTGATTATATATTTTTTTGAGCCTGACCTGATTTTTAGAAAAAAATTAAGCATTGTCTATATTATTTTCAAACTTTGGGCTGAAGAGTTACATCTTGATAATATAAATAAGTTAAGAGCATTTTATATAGGCATAGTTTTTTTGCTATTTAAATGAAATAATCCAAAATTTTTAGATTAATCAAATTATAGAGGGTTGCCATTACTATTTAAATGTAAATATTTTTTATATATATTTAAATAGTGTATATATACTAAATGCAAATATTTAGTATATACATTGTATTTTAAATATTAATATCATGATCCAAGTTGCATATATACCTCATTCATAGTTAGCACAAATTTGTGGTAAAATATTCAAAATAGGGGTTAGAGGAAAAAAAATCAAGATCTTATCTGTTTCATCACTTTATTTAAATGAGTGATGACAAATGGTAAAACTAAAGGAATATATTTTTTAGAAGAGAATGATATAGAAATAGACTATTAGGATTCAACAAATATTCTTTATTAAAATAATATTAAATTTATAAGATTTTTTTAGTAAAGTATTTAGAATAACATCCTTAGATGGATAGATTTTACAAAGTCCTTTAAAAATTGTTGATGAAATAAAAGAAAAAAGAATTATTTGAATTGTTTAGGTTTATTTTATTAAATAATATGCTATTATAATTTGTTTCTTGGTGCTGCTTTAAATATATGCTTTAGCAGCAATGAATATAATGCTTGTATCACTATAGATGCATAAAGTAAATAAAAATTATGATTATCAGAGACCTGCAGGCCTGGCCCAAAACCTGGCTTGGCCCAGGTACCAGGGTCGGGCCATATTTTAAAATTTTAAAATATACATGGGCCAGGCCAGGTCTAAAAAAATTTTTTTTTAAAAGAATTATATTATATTCATTAATTAGATATGGTTATAATGAATATATATAGTTATGATTAATATAATGTTGGGTGTAAGTTAACACTAGCTAACACTCATAATATCTATTACATAATATAATTATAATTTTCCTGCCATGGTATAAATACGCCATGGATTAAATACATTATTATATAATATATGTTATATTTTTTATTAATTAAAATATCAGTTTTTTTTTTTTTATAAACAATTAATATAGTATATTCTCAAAATATTATTTACAATATTTTAAAAAAATATGTAAGTTGTTAAACGGCTAGTTTTGAGCCGATTTTTAAAAACGGCTAACTCAGTATTTTATGCAGAAAAATATTACGCAAGCCTGAAAATTTGGCTCATAGAAGGAGCAAAGGTGAAGGCATATAGTATCGAAATTTTGAAGCTTAGTCAATATTTTTCTGGCGAAAATATTGAGTTGGCCGTTTTAAAAAATCGGTTCAAAACGAGGCGCTTAACAATCTCGTGTCAGCTAACTCTTTAGTTGTGTCAGTTTTATGTGATCAGCTGCCGATTAGATATGGTCAAATACCTATTAGGTGGCATCGAAAAATAGAATTTGTACAAACTTCCTAGCCATAGACTTCTATAGTAGCAGTTACAATCCGGGTCGGGCCCAAATAATTATATTTGTTTAACTGTCCAGGCCGGGAATCTTATAATTGTGTAAACTACGGGCATCGGAGACCGTACAGAAATACCATTTGCACGGCCAGGCCCGGGCCTGGCCGTGCAAATGGTATTTCTGTACGGCCTCTGATGCCCGTGATTTACACAATTTTAAGACCCTTGGCCTGGACAGTTAAACAAATATAATTTTTTGGGCCCGACCCGGATATAAATTGTTTCTGGCTAGGCTATGGAAATCTATTACTAAATTATAGTTCGTACCACCTATTTGGTATTTTATCAATATTTTTCGGCATATCATGTATTTATATTTTAATATATTTGAATGCAATTTTTGAAAATTTATTAAGCCCTGATTTATAATATAATTGAATATCCCATCCTTGCCATATTTGGGTAGCATGATTACGATGAATATTTGTAAACGAGCCAATCGATCATGATTCTGCTGACCCCTTTTAATATTGTCAAAAATATTTTTGGAATTATTTAGGCCATTTAAAAAAATCAGAAACTCATATTTCTAGCTCGCTAGCACACCCGTTTCCCGAGCAGGTCTTAATGTTCGTGACAATTTACTCACCTGTAAAAATTTTAAAATGCTTATATCTCAAAAACTATTTAAGATAAAAAAAATAAAATAAATAAATTATCTTGTGGGCCAAAAAAAAATCTCTAAGGATCTATCACAAGAAGGAAAAAAAATTTGGCGCCAATTTGAGTATATAACTTCCGGATTGCCTTTTTATCTTTACGCATGATTTTAATCAATTAGGGGGAGTTGGGCTTTCGATAAAAAAATTTTTGGCCTTTTATTTCAGGGACCCAAACCGAAACGAATATCAGTTCGGTTCGGGTTCAGGTTCTGATAAAAATAACGGTTCAAGGTTCAGGTTCGGTTTGTAAAAAATTAAAATATCGGTTCGGTTCGAACCTCTAAGAACCGGTTTGGACACTTTCGTATCCAAACCTACATTCGAATTATGTATAGGGAAATTTTTTTTTTATTTTATCATTAATTTAAAAAACACATGTATAAAACCTTCATTTTTATTAATTGCACATTATAAAATAATATTTAATTTATAAATATAAAAATAAGAATAAGAATATATATCAATGATCAATTTTTATATGAACAATATTTTATTTTTTTATTAAGCCGCACAATTAATATATTTTCATTCGTCTCTCCCAAATTACACTATAAGGAGATAGTATAAATTTAATTGTTAAAAGCATCTTTCCACACTGACTTGGGTAGCCGACACTGCCAATATGATATCAGATTTGATGTGTCATTTATAATAATATTTTGGATTTAATTTTTCTCTAAGCATTATAATTTACAAGCTTAAAATATTTTAAAAAAATGTTGTAAAATGACAATATATTAAAGTTTATAAAAATTATGACCGACACTTATCAATCAAATATGATTGATGATAATCTTTAAAATAATTTGAATGTAATTGAAATTTTTTCAATATACTAATAATAACTTACATATTGTTTTATAAACATAAAATCACGAGGCTCGAACCTGTTCAGAGACATTATAGCGGTTCGGTTCAGGTTCGGCTAGTTTTTTTAGCGGTTTAGGTTCGGTTCAGGTTTGATAAAAAATAGCGGTTTAACGGTTCAGGTTCGGTTTGGATCCCTATAAAGTTAACTTACCAATAACAACATATTTTCACTTTTCATAATAAAATTTTTAGAATTTTTTATTAAATATGTACCAATTAAACTGGATTTTAACCGTGTCAGCAATTTCATATAGCGCCATCTATTTTACGGATGAAAATTATAATTCTTGGTATAAAAATTGCTCATTCCGAAAGGGTCGGCAGCGTTAGCTATGGTTTTTATATCTTATATAATTATAAAAGGTGTCTAAATAAAAGGCAAAAAATTATTCCCCTAATTGCTTAACTCTTAAACCGTAAACGTATTCCGGAAGTTAAAGACTCGAATTGGCTCCAAATTTTTCTTGTTCTTTCAATAGACCTTTAGAGATTTGTTACATATACAAAATGATGTATTTATTTTATTTTTTACCTTAAATAGTTTTTAAGAATATAAGCAATTTTAAATTTGCGTTTAAAATTATGGGTAAAAAAATATTTATGTGATTTATTGCATCTCGAAAAGTTGTATCTATTAAAACATTGGTCTGCCACATTGCGAGGACCTGATCCAGTTAAGCTATCATCAAGGGAGATTAAGCTGCAGATATTAACGATAGTTTTTTAATTATCCGGAAGGAAAGATGAGAGTGACAGAGTAATTATGAAAGGTTGGTAGAACGAAGCCGTCCATTACTAATACTGGTAATTTCGAATAAATACTAGAGTAATTTATAATGGTCATTTAACTTGTTTCATCGTAAATTTTACCAAGATGAATATTTAAATATTCCTGGGATACTATTTTCCAAAGCATTTTATTTCATATTAATTTTTTTCCATCTGTTTCTCCCCCTTAAAATGTTTGTCAAATTTGTGGACCTTTGCAAACGCTTCGTTATTGGCAAAAAAAATATTTATATTCTTAATAATTCTAAGTATTCAAATCTAAATGAATCATAGACCTTTCCATCTCATCTGGATGCAACAGGACAGTTTTTCTATCCAGAGATGATGAATAATTCTCCGGAAGTTTCCCTCAATATATTGATTGGAGTGACAGGAAGCGTAGCCGCAATCAAAGTCCCGGAATTGTTAAAATGTCTCGAAACGAGGTTGAATGCTATCAATAAAAAAAATTGTATCAAAATAGTAGCGACGGATAAAGCGCTTCAATTTTTTTCTCCTCACACCCTCGCTAACCAGGATTCGCAACCTTATAAAGTCTACAAGGATTGTGATGAATGGGACCACTGGAAGACCAGAGGTGATCCAATCCTACATATAGAGCTGAGAGATTGGGCTGACATATTTCTGATTGCCCCTCTAGACGCTAATACCTTAGCCAAGGTGGCAAATGGGTTATCCGACAATCTACTAACCTGCATAATCCGAGCATGGGACATTAGCGCCACATTTCAAAAGCAGGTTTAAACTATAATGAATGACTAACTATTTTTAAAAAATATATGGTGAATTCCATATCAAATCAACAAAAAAAGTCGATTTTCAACCCGACCCCCTTCAATTTTTCTTAAATTTTGTATACTGGTAGTATATACTATAACTAAGAAAAAAATAAAATTTTACCTTCCAACACTGTTACCCGCTAAGATATGGCCGTTTAAAGCGCGGAAAAATGATACATTTTTGACAAAATGCACCTCATTTATTTTCAAATATCTCGAGAAATAATTATGTTAGAAAAATAATTTAAATTTTATTTTGTAGCTTAATAAAAGTTCTTTAAAATGACATAAAAATAAATATGATGGACATTTTAATAATATCTAAAACCGGATGTGTAAAACAGGAAATGCAAAATTTTTTTTCTGTAGATAGATATCACATTGCTTTATATTTGTACAAAATCCTATGGGGATGAACATGGGTTTAGGAGTTATCACTCTTTATATGGCTAAAATTGAACAAATTTAACATTAATATCATCATATTTTAATTTAATGAATAGTTATGAAATAATGTTAATTTAAAAATTATGTCTAAATGACAAACCCTTATTTTTTTTTATCTTTAAAAAAAAACTTTGAGAGGTGGCTGGGATAATGAGCTGTTTAAAACTTTAGTTAAATTTTATCTCGAAATTAAAATTACTTGACAAAATAATTTTAAATATTTTATTTAGCATAAAATAATCTACCAAAATTGAAATTCAACAATAAATTTTCCCCCATATATTCAAAATTAAAAGAAAGGCTTAATATATTATTTGACGAGAATTCTATACATTATAAAACATTCAAACAATGAATATCAGTTGATCGAACTATCCTCGAAACACTGACAAAGTCCGCTGACGAAATTGTAGATTATTTAATTGAATAATTAAACAATATAATTCCTCATTTGTTTATAGCTTCACGATAATCATTAATTCGAAACTTTTTAAAATTCATTTTAAATGTTGGCGAATTCTTAGTTATCGCAGACTTTTCAGAAAACTATGCATTTGTAGTGCAGAACTGCACAAGGATTTATCAGACCAATAATCAAGCTACTATCAACTCTTTTATAATTTATTACCGTGAGAACAACATAAAACATGTAAATTTAGTGGTTATATCAGATTGTTTAAACCACAACGCATGTGTATTTTATTTATTTTAAAAATTAATCGTATTCTTGAGGGAAAGATTTAATAGAGTGGCTAAAATTTATTATTTTTCTGATGGAGCAGTAACCAATATAAAAATAAAAGATTTCATTTATCTCTACAATCATGAAAATGATTTTGGGATAAAGGCTGAGTGACATTTTTTAAAACCGCACAAGGCAAAAGTCCATGTGACATTTTGGGGCCGTTACTAAACGGTTAGCAGCTCGAGCAAGCTTGCAACGTCCATATGAACATCATATATTGACAACAATAGATTTATTTAACTATGCAAGAAATAATATCTATGGGGTAAATTATATATTTGTGAGCAATAATGAATATATGAACATAGAAAGTCATCTTGAAAGCATATTTTTGAGAGCAAAGAGAATTTCTGGAACACAAAGTTCCAAGCTTTTATTCCCCTAGACGAAAACAAAAGTCATAATTTATCAAAATTCCTTGGATGATTATAATATATGATATATTTTAATTATAAATTTTTGATTTAATTATATGTAATGCAATTTGAGGCAAATAAAGTTATAAATATATTTAGAATTATTTTGTCAAGTAACTTCGAGACAAAATTTAACTAAAGTTTATCATTATTCCAACCACTTCTCAAAATTTTTGATAAAGAAAAAAAAAGTAAGGGCCTGTCATTTAGACATAATTTTTAAATTAACATTATTTTATAACTATTCATTAAATTAAAATATGATGATATTAATGTTAAATTTGTTCAATTTTCGCCATATAAAGAGTGATAACTTCTAAACCCATGTTCATCCCAGTCTAGGATTTTGTACAAATATAAAGCAGTGTGATATCTATCTACAGAAATAAAATTTAAAAAAAATACCTTTTTTTTCTATGGCCATTTCCGGTTTTACACATCCGATTTTCGATATTAATCAAATGTCTATTATATTATTTCTATGTCATTTTAAAGAACTTTTATTAAGCTACAAAATAAAATTTAAATTATTTTTCTTACTTAATTATTTCTCGAGATATTTGAAAATAAATGAGGTGCATTTTGTCAAAAATGTTCCATTTTTCCGCGCTTTAAACGGCCATATCTTAGCGGGTAAACAGTTTTGGAAAGTTAAATTTCATTTTTTTCTTAGTTATAGTATATACTACCAGTATACAAAATTTAAGAAAAATTGAAGGGGGTCGGGTTGAAACCTTGGTTGATTTGATATGGAATTCACCATATATATATAATTTAGTTCTTCTATATTCAAAAATTATTTTCTATACACAAACCTTTTAAGGCTATATTTATGAATACTTGTTTTAAATATTATATCGATTTTAGAATATAAATTATGATACGAAATCAGCTGTATTTCACCATTTTTCTTTTGTTATTAAATGAAAAATAATCTTAATATTCCTACACTCCCCTAGAAAATAGTTCTATTCGCCCCGGCTATGAACACAAAAATGTGGACGCATCCTATCACGGTCAAACAAATTTGCGTGGTGACCCAAGAATTTGGATTCAAACAGATCCAGCCCATAGATAAAGTTTTGATGTGCGGAGATGTAGGTATGGGAGCCATGGAGGAACCGGAAATGATCGTGAGCAGAATAATCTCGGAGTTACAAAACTTTGATTGACTCTATCTTATTCGATATTTGTCAAATACCCTTTTCCGCCCAAACTATGTGATGTTGTTCTTAGAAAATTAACCATAACGCTGGTTTGTATAATATATCGATAAATAAGGATGGATATCTTATATCATTTATTATATCAAAATATGATTTTTGTAATATATATATTTTAAAAACAAATTGTGTATAACTATTGTTAAATGTTGTAGTTTCCTTATGGTTTTTTTGCGTTTATAGCCCTTGTCATAACGATTATTACATAGAGTAAGTTATAAATTCGAGTGGCAGATTAATGGATGGAATATTTTTAAAATTTTTGCATTAACCAATGAATTATCGATGACCGATGCTTTTAACAAATATTGAAGGATGAAAATTATAAAAACCTTACCCATAGGCTATGAGATTCAGAATCTCAATTTTATGTCATATACCGGGCGCCATTATTTAAATTTAAAAAAATCTAATTTGACCGGAAATGTTGTGTAGAATAACTAGCTTGTCTGAAATTGTATTAAATTTCCATCCGATTCTTCAGATTAAAAAATCGCTATCAGCAAATTATTAAAATTGTGGGATTCCCCATGTCCCAATATAAATACAAAAAATATATATGAATAATTAAAGTATTGCAATACAAGACATTTTGTAAGCTATGCTAAGCTAACATTATACAAAATATATATTTATTATTAGGTGGCAGAACTCTTTATAGGTACACAATATATAATATAATCCGAATATTTGCGATAGCAGAATAGATAAATATTTGGTTTTACAAAATTAATATATAAAAAAGTATCGATTTTAATTTAAAGAATGTATCTAAATTGTATATGAATATGTATTGCTTGACAGACAAAATACGTTCTCTATGTTTATTGTTACTTGTCACATATTTATCTTTTGAATCTGTATATATATTATTTATGATACTTTTTTTAAATAATCAATAGTGTCAACTATTTTAATCTTTCCTGTCCCATTGTTGATCGAATGTATTGAAATGTTTTAATATCGATTTTCCACGTGAGCTCGTAAATGATATGGTTAGCGCAGTTTTAGGGCATTTATATGTGTAAGAGAATATATCACTGGACTTAATCTATTATTAATTTAAAATTCGGTTCTTGTGTCTGATTATAAGTTTTAAATATTAATTTTAAAATTGTGGATCCGGAAATAATATAAAATAAATGGTTTGATCACGTAAGAATCTTAATATGGGGGGGGGGGGTATAAAGCGCTTATACCTCCTAATATATTTGCGTTTTTTCTTTATCATAATATCTAAAATGAAGTAAAAGGCATAAAACTTTGAAAGTTATGGGGAGAACAAAATCATTTAAAATTGCATAATTTGGATAATCCTAAAACTTTTGAATGGTTGATATTGAGGAATTAAAGGGGCTAGCTCAGTGATTTTCGAGTTTGTTGAAAGCCTTGAATATGAGGGCATCAAATGTAAGATGAATAGGTGACCGAATTCCAACACCACCTGACTTGAATGGGAGAAAAGCATGGGTGCAGGATAAAGTTAAGCTATGAAGGTCTGATGTTATTTAGGGTCATTTATGCGTTCATTTACTATAAATAAAACCTCTTAAAATTTTAATCATAGCATTTTTAATTGAATATTCACATCTGTCTTCTTCTCTTAATTTTTTTTAGGTCTAGATACGATTTGTCTGCCAATATTTTGGTTCATAGAAGATAATATCTTAATTCAGGTGTTTAGCTAGATTTATATTTGACGGGGACAATTGTTTTAAATATTCTATGGTGAACTAAAATTTCCTAAATAATATTAAATCTAGTGACAATAAAAACAATTTTTAATATCAAATAATATGTAAAATTATCAATAAATTTTCACAAATATGCAGTTATAAAATATTAAACCTAATTATTCTTGGATATCCCTATACACAAAGGATAGGGTAATACTCTAGATTGGGGAATAGTTAGAACTTATGGAATATGCAATTTCAAGGAAGTGTTAGAGAGATGAATTAGTGACCAATTGAATGATATGCATTTCGGTTTTACATCGGTGAAGAGTTCTACTGACGCTATTTTTGTTGTGAGAAAAAAATAGGAAAGATAGCAAGACAAGGGGAAAGGGTGAATAACTGCAGTGATGGTGATGTATAAAGAGGAGCGAATGCTGATTATAGGATGATAGAGATTGTTAGTTCCCAAGTAATGGTAGACTACGTCAAGATTCATCTTGAGTCCATTCCTTTTTAATATGGTAATGAATTTAGTGACTAGAAGCATAAAGGCTTATATATGAAAATACGTTATGCCAGTAGTAATAGTGAAATTAAGACTGAATTAAAGATTAAATAGAGGAGGGTTATGGGAGAGAAGGGAAAATTAATATGGAAGAAAAAGGTGATGTTTGGGGTGATGTTTGGAGGTCAATTAGAAAATCTAATCAATTATACCTGTAGATTGCAAGCGCGACATTTGTTTGTAAAAAGTGTGTGAAAGGGGTGTAAGCTGATTACGATATGATTGGTTGTTTTATTGGAAATAGAATAGGTTTGTAAAAAGTAGGGAAGTTCTATTACCTAGGGGATATGCTTGGCCTAGTGGAAGTGAAGTAGTGACTTGGCAGTGGTGACAAATATAGATCGGTTTGGAAGAAATTTTTAGTGTCATTAATAATAGTTGATAAAAATGTCACTCAATCTTTGACGGGAATAATTAGGCAGAGAATTTGTATGATATATACCAGATAGACAAAGGAAATTAACAACTCACGAAACCAAATTTGAAACAACCGAGACGAGAATGATAAGAATATGCTGAGTATCTCTGAGAAAAAATAAAAACAAGGAACGTAGAGAAAGAAGGGTAGAAATGATTTTATAATATTTTTTTAATTCATTGCCATTCAAAAACTAATGTTTCACTCTCTGACCTATATCATGTTATAATTTATATTCAATATTGTCATTTTCCTTCAAATTTCATAACCAGTTTTTCCTGTTATGAGATCTTCAATCAATTTTCTCTTTTAGTAGAAATCGTTAGTAAAATGCCATTTCTCTTAAGGGGAATGGTTGGAAGCATATGCACTACATTGAGGCTAAATCTGATTAATTCTTGTGGAGGCTACGGCTTTCAACATAAATTGGTATGCCGCTTTTACTTCTGTTATGATATCATTTTAAATATTTTAATCATCACTGCATCTAAAATGCATAATTTGTGTATCATACCACATACTTCGTTATATTCATTAGTACATCGCACGTAATTATTTTCCATTATTTCAACACCGATAAAAACAACTAAGAATTTTCTCGGCATAAATGATCAGAAATATATATTATAGTGAATGAAAAACGTAAATAATTTTGTTTTAAGATATTCATTTCTTTAGCAAACATTTCGATCCTCATTTCAATGATTTTGAACCAACCAATGATGAGATATCATCTGTATTTTTTAATCATTTTATACTAATTTCTAAAGCATGTCTAATTTGTTTAGTGAATAAAATATATTTAAAAATAAAAATAATATTTTTCTTTTAAGCCACTTTATTTAAATATTATTAAATGAATATCATTTTTAATTGTGTTAAAACTTTTTTAACTGTAAAATACTAATGTTATTAAAATTGTAAATATTTTTTTGTTATAGTATATTTATTATATAAAATTGAAATCTCTATTTTTCAAAAAATATTTGGTGGTATTATATAGCGCTGATAAGCGCTCTGTTAAAACCAATATTCACAGAAATCAATTGAATGTAGTACAAATCTAATTTTAAAATTAGAAATAGAATTCGCTATTGGATTGGGGGGGGGGGTGATATTACCTTAGAATTACTCTAAGAGTTGTTTAAGAATATTTAAAAATTTTAGGACTAGTGACTGTAAAATATCGACAATTTTTCAATACACTAATTCAAATTGAATAATGATATAATAATAAATGTGTATAATAGGCACAATTACTATAAAATATATGTCTCAAAAAAGAACTTTGCTTGCAAATAAATTTTTTTAAGCTAAATGCATAAATATAAATATATTTTTAAGAAAATTTTTGGAAATATTTATTATTAATGTGTATTAGAAAATGGGGAAAATATAATTAATAAGCATTATTATAAATTTAAAATGTGAAATTCTATCTTCTCATGGGTTAATTATATTTAGTGATTTCATGTGCTTGTTCAACTCCCTATGTATATTAAGAAGGGCTAGCCAATGCAATCTATTTTCTGAGGTAGAATTTCTCATTAATGTTATTAAACAGCTCGATTTGAGCCGCCCTTTATTTAGACAAATATTTTGTTTATATTCAAGAAATCTTGAGGCTACGACAAATTTCTCAGGCTAAAATATTGAATTTGTGGTGTTTAAAATTCTACTAAAATCGAGTTGTTTAGCAATATTGCTTCTCAGATATGTTTTTTATTTTTCTTAAGGAAGGAAATGTTCTTTCATTAGTGGAAGTAATATGAGTAGAATTGTCAGAGTATGTTATAATTTTAGTATATTAGGAAATTTGTCTAAAATGTGTTTGATATTATGCGAAGAATCTAAAGCATTTCTCGAACCATTATCAACCATATTTAACCTTTCATACCAAAGTTTGCATTCAGTAGGTAATGCATCATGATATACCTTAACATATACAATAAAAATCTGGTAAAATATTTAATTTTCTTCTATCAAGGCTTGAAATAGATTTGGAAGGATCCTGCCTAATGTTTTAATTGTGTCAATGTTAAATTTACAGTTTGAGATGTTCCTGATTATTCAAGAACCTTGCATTAAATTTGAGGTATTAAAATATCCAAGATGTAAATAAGAGATTTAATTTATAGTATATTCTTTGATTGACCCTATATTTATATTTGAATGATGGGCTTGCTTAGCTGCCAGTCGAGTTACACATTTAAATTATTAGAGTTCTGCTTCTAAATCAATAATTACATATAAATTATTCAATTCGTTGCCTTAATTTCCCAAGGTCAATTTTTAAAAAAATTTGACAATCGTTTTGCAGAGAAAAATTTTATAAGATTTTTTAGACAATATTTAAATGGTAAAATAAATATATAGGCAAAGAGGATTTGCAATAGATATTAATTCATAGGAAAATAGCTCATTTATATCTGCTATGAATGTGATGAGTATATGTAAATTGGATTATAGGAGTGAAATATAATAATTTTACATTAATTTTTGTAAACTTGGCTGCGAATTCGCGCTATCTAAGAATGCAGGGTTCTTAGTTGACAAAGCCAATATTTTAATATAATCTTAAAATTATAACTGATGCTTAATCAAAATTGATTGTTAAAATATTTTAAACAATCACGATGTCATTATATCCAAACCAGTTTATAGTCCTTTTGAGACGAGAATCAGGTTTGAGCGACAACATTTAATCGTTCAATTTCGATGTCTAATATTAAGAGTTAACATAGAAAATTAATGGTTGGTTCATTTGATTCCCAGTTTTCAGAAATTGTAACAAAGTTTTACAAATTTTCTCAATAATTCTTCAGTATGGAAGAAGATCTTATAAGAACTAATATTGTATTGTTACTAATATTACGTAATCAACGATTGAAAATAAACTTGATTATATTTAATGACTTAATTTACCACGAATTTTTAAATATCTAATTTAAACAATCATCATTGTCATTAAAAAAAATTTACAAATATGTTTAAATTATTTACAAGTATGAAAAATTTAAAGAAGGGTAATAAAAGTAACAACTGCCCGCAGCAGAGTAAAGTTTCATTGTATTGATGTTTATAATTTATTATACAATTTTAGAGAAAGAAAAAAATGGAAAGTTTGGAAAGTTATTAGATTGGTTCTGCTGCAAGGGCAGTTGGAAAAAGAAAAAGGTAAAGAGATGTGGGGAAGACGTACCGATTGAAGGAGTTAAAGATGCTAGGAGTGGGTGTGATGTTATTGTTGATGAGGTTATCAATGAAGTATCATGTGGAAATGTGCCACAAGTCATTAGTCAAGTGGATGACAAGTAAATAAAGAAATGGATGGAAAATAATTCAAAATTTATAATCCTATATTATGTAAAAATAATTATATTTTAGTAAATGGAAGAAGTTCTCTGATTACAAAATGATAAGGGTCTTAGGCGAAGGAGGGTTTGGTCATATGGTTTTGGCTGAACAAAACGAAACTAAAAAATTGTATGCCTTTAAATTCCTGAAAAAAAACTCGGTCAAGGTTTATATTGTTTTTTTTCTTCGTTCTTTTCTGTTAAATGTTAACTAGAATGAATAATATATTAGGGATACAAAAAAAAGCAAAAGGCAAAATTACTTTCAAAATGAATTAGTTGAAATGAATACTAATATGAATTAATTATATATAGACCTGCGCGCCGATGAAACTATCGGCGTAAATCAGCGCAGTTATAAATTTTTATAATATAAATCTTTTTCATTGCTTATTATTTTTTAAAAAACGAATATACACTACTCTATATCTCGGCATATTTTGTAATATTTATTTAAGAGAAAACTCATTATAAACCAAAATCGATTTCGTAATTTTATAATTATCATGTATAAAAATTATTTTATTTAAATTATCGGGACAATAATGATCCCCTTGAATTTAACGTCAATCCAGCGGTAGAGAAAACTCTTTCACTAGGTGTGCTAGTCACCTGAATGCAAAGAATTTTTTGGCGAGCCTGGAAAGACTATAACTTGTAAATATCGTTTTCCAAGAAAAATGTGGCATTCTTGTTCTAAGTCACCTAACTTGGAATCATAATTTTTATTTGTTGAATGTTTATTTACCAATTTTGTCGAATAACTTAAATTTAATAATTCATCTTGATCCTCATTAGCTATATTTACTACCTGATTATCATCATTCTCTATATGTTTAAGATGTTTTATTATAAATTCTGAAGCTAAACAATTTTGCGCTATTAAATACTTTGACACAATTGTCAATTTTTGAAATCTTGTATCTAAAAGAGAAGCCAATACCTAGATAATTTTAAATAAAAAATTAAAGAATATACTTATATATTATTACTTGCAGATTACACACCTAAAATCGTAATGCAAGTTTTTTAGCATTTATTCCTTAAGTGAAATGATTTCAGTACTATCACTACCATTTACTATTAAATTTGTTCCAATTTCACTAATAAAAAGTAACGCCAAGTTTAAAGTAGGCCCTTTTTGTAATGAAAGAAATTCGATATTTCTTTAAATTTTGAAAGAAATGCTAATCGTTCTTCTAACAGCTCAGATTCGTAATTTTATAATTTGAGAAACTGCTTCCCAATTCTTTCAAAACATTAATTAAATTCTTATTTAATCCAGATATGCTTTCTAGCATATTTAATATACTATGCCAACTTGTTGCGACAAGGTTTTCATATGCGTGGAGTTATTGTTATTATTATCATTGGAATTGCCAATTTGAAAACGGGTATCCGGGTATGGATCAATGTTGTCAAGATCTAACATGTCTGATGTTAAATCTATTATCCTAAGACATTTTTTGATCTTCCTCGAATTCAATCAACCTCTGCAGTTTTATATCTTAGATCAGTAATAATTTCTCTAATTCTATTGTAAAAAATTCTAGACCCTGGATTTTTAATTATCCAGAGTTAGGATACTAAAATTATTTATAGAATTATTAAATGTAGATACGTCCATTTTAAAAATATGTAAAATTATGCTAACTTTTGGAATTTTAGATTTTTGATTGATTGAATTCTATAATGACGTCAATATAGTTATGATTTTAAAATAGTAGAAAATAAAAATTCATCAAAATCCTGATTGACATTAAAAAAAATTACAACAGTGATGTTGACCAATTATTAGAATAAAAAGGAATTAAATATGAAAGAAATTTCTGCGCAGGCCGTGCGTCGCGATATGAAAATCGGCGGCACGCCGGCGTGATTTTCTAAAACGGCGGCATTTTCGGCGTAACTAAAAATGTTCGGCGCCGGCGCACAGATCTAATTATATAGCATTATAACTTATATATAATGTTAATGACATTAAGCCCCATTGGCTAATATTTTCGAAGGCTAGCCTTGGATTATTTTTAAACGAGCAATCTGGGTTCAATAATCAGATTAAGATAGTCAAAAATAATATTATATGAGCCTGGAGATTTAGCAAGGATTAAGCGGTTATTTGCCGAATCTCGAGGCTTACATAATTTTGTATTGGCCTAATATCTTATACGGGTGGTTTTTATCTACCTAAATAGGGATATTTATCAACGCTGGTTTATTTAAGTCCATCCATATTTGTTTAAGGCATTTGATTTGTACGAAAATGAAAAGGAAGTTCTCAAAATTGCCACGAACCAGCCTTTCCTCATCGGCTACCATGCCTGTTTCCAAACACCCAATAAGTATATTTACTTTTTTGTTAATTATTCAATTATTTAGGATATAAATTTATGAGGATGGGACTTTTAACAAAAATAATACTTAAAATTTTATCGTAAATTGTAATATTGTAGTTACATCATAGCTATGGATTACGCATGCGGTGGAGATTTGGATAATCTTATTAAATATTTGGGTAGAATTCCAGAAGAGTCCACTAAATTCTATGTAGCGGAACTGGTGTTAGGCGTATCATTTCTACATTCCAAAGGTTTTACATTTTCGGGAAAATATGTATTTAATTTTAAATTGCCAGTTTATATAAATTCTTGATTAAATCATTTTTTTTAGCAAATAAAAATGTTGGCTTCATACAAAATTTGTATTATATTTTTATTTTATATTTCAGGGATTATCCATAGAGACCTCAAACCGGAGAATGTTATGCTAGACCAAGATGGCCATATAAGAATAACAGATTACGGTCTTTGCAAAGTAACTTTTTCTTACATGAATTTATGAGTTTTACCAAAAAAATGCAACAATTTAAGTTCATAACGAACAAAATCTCACGATACAAACTCTACGCATAGTTTTATACAGAATTAACTTATCGGAAATATATTCCTTCTTTCAAAATTACAATGAGATGTATTTAACAAAATAATTACCTTCTTTACTTTTACATATATATAATTTTTGGATAATTACTTAATCTAGAGAGATTTTAGTTATGGCGAAAAAACCAAAGAGAGGGTGGGTACACTGGACTATGTAGCGCCTGAAATCTGGCGGGGTAAAAGTTATGGTAAATATTTTATTGATTTTTTATCTCCCATAATTCAATAAATATTTTATATCGTTTTTTTAATATTACTTTACAAATAATGTTACATATTTAACATAATAGAGGGATGTATAATTTTTTTTTGATATTCTTAATATCACTGTTTCTTGTGTTTATTTTCCTTTATAATATAGTCAATATTTCTAATATACCTAATCGAACGTTTTCTTGATTATCGTAGGCAGACCTATGATTGTTTCGACATAGGAAATTAGAGCCCTTTGTATAGAGATACATATTTATTTCCAAGATTTTTTTACATGATATGTAGAAATTCAAATTAAGATATAGCGATTTGTGTGTATAGAATTAAGGAAAGTGTAAATCCTATATTTTTAATATGACAATTTTTTTAAAAAATTATAAAGCATATTGGTAAATGCAATTTAAAAGGCATATTTATAAAAATTATAGGATGTTTTGTTGGTGTTTACTTTGTTAAACTATAAAAAAATATATGAAAAAGATTTGACTTTTGAAATTTTTAATTTTTATAACTATAATAAAGGGATTAAAATTTATTACTTTTGAAAAAAAATATGTAAATAATTTCATTTTGGATAGAGTGGTGGAGATTCAATTACTTCACAATATGTGGAAAAGGTAATAATCATAATAAAATTAGCGGGAGCTTTAATCCCCACCCCTAATACACCACTCCACGTCAAAAGGTATATTTGGACCAAGAATCAATTTTTCTTCAAATTAATTTAGAATTTATAAACTAATAATTATTTTAAGTAGCTTATGGAATTCATATTTTATCCATATAGGTTCAATATATAGAATTTATTCAGATTTGAACAAAAATTGTTTCTGAACTACTTACGTCTCCTAAACATATTCAAAATGATCGCAATGTATATTATATATTTAAATAATAAAAAAACATGAAAGATTTTAGGGTTGATATCTGGGCACTGGGAGTAACCATGTATAAAATGCTTACAGGACGAAAGCCTTTCGATTTGCCTCTAAAGCGAAATCCTTGGCAAAGTATCAGTTTGTTTTCTACTAACACTTTATTTCTTATAAATAATGGGAACAAAATTTTTAAACACCCTAAGAGTGCATATAAGTGCAAAATATTCTATAAACTGGATAGTAAGGCTGAATTTATAAATTAATATTAATTTCAAAAAATAGTTCCCATTTTAAAAGATTTTATAAAACTCGATCAGCTGTTAAGCCCATTTATGTCAACTAAAGGAAATTAAGTAATAAATTTTAAAAAAATATATCTTATATATCATTTTAAAATCATATTTACAAAAAATCAATGCAAAAGCTTTTAAATAAGATATTGTTAGACCGGGGTTACATGGTCAATATTTCAAATTGGGGTAGAAATTAAAGTTTTTGTTTTGAAGGAGAAATTTTAAATTTACAGTGATTTTTAATTACGATAGTTTTGCTTAAGGGAGGTCTGTGCGTGTTTTCCAAAAAATCGCGGAAGTCTCCCGCTGATAGAGAGAGCCTTGGCCTCCCCAATTTTTGTCGTTAATTTAAATACAACCTTAATAAATTTTATCAAATTTACCATTATTATAATTTATAAAATTTAAAACAATACTTTTTTTTATAATAGGATTAATAGGTAAAAAAGCATTAGTCCGTATTCCAGATTCAATATCTGATCAGGCTTGCCAAGTTTTGCAGAAATTTCTAGCCAAAGTTTGATATAATGAATATAATAATTATGCATGCATTTTTTTAAATATAAATATATTACATTCATCATAGAAAATGGAGAACAGGCTGGGATCCAATCCCAGCACCACCATCCATTCCATCGCCTCCCTGCGCTTCTTCAGTTCCATCGATTGGAAACTGGTAACAAAAATATCTCTAAACTCTTTTAAATAGAATTTCTTTTACAGTTACTTCTATTTATGCATCAAACATTTCTGCAAGATTTAAATTGACATAATAACCTATTCCATTTTATATTATAGCTCGAAGCCAGGAGAGTGCAACCACCTTACAAACCTATACTTCCACCCTAAGACCGGCCTTCGTCCACGCTAGTTAGAGTGATGACCAGAAAACTCGAGTAAATCTATATTAAGAAAATTTGTCAGTATTGAAGTCATAAAAAAAATGTTACTTCTACAGTTCTTTTATGACCAATAGTTTATTAATTACTTTGTGTTCGGTAAGCTAACTGTGTATATGGTTAGAAAATACATATAAAAATATAAAATCAACAAAAATAATTAAAAATAAGATGAAGAAGTAGAGTTTTCTACTCATCAAAATAGAGGGAATATTATCTAGTTAAATTATTTTTAAAGTGATTCCATATGATGATAGAATAGTTTAAAATGTTTATTATGACAGTTCGTGAATAAGGGCCATGTTTTTGAGAGCGATAGATTAGTTAGATTGAAAGACTGCTTTTAATCAAATAAATTTATATGAGGAATGTGTATCCAAAACATTAATGTATTAAATAAAATTAAAATCTAGGCTATATCTTATAGTTTTTTAAGAACATTTTTTTGCCAGTCAACACCCGCCTGTCCATACAATATTTTTCTTATCACTAATATATTCATATACTTATCGAAATTTAAAATGATATTTATTGAACGCCAATTAATATTCTTTGTTTCTGGTAATTCCTTATTATATGAAGATATTATAGATGTGATATATAAAAAGGATTATAGTCATTTATTTATTTTGATTTAGTAAAAAAATAACACATGCCCACTTATGATATTTTATATTATTAAATCTTCAATTATAGCGATAAAGTCTGAATTCCGAGTTTTCTGGTAAAAGCTTCCAGATTGGATGCACCATGGGATGGTGGTTGCATCAGTTAATTAAACTAATGTTTTATTCAGTTATTTCTATTCAAAAAGATAATGATAATTTTATTAATGATTTTAGAAATATATTTCCTCAGAAATTATAATATTTTTATTTTCTTATAATGATTTGAACAAATGATTACAAAATTAATATTTTCATATTTTTTCATTTCTAATGATTTTGGTTTATACATATGTTTTATATCCTAAATTTTATTTATAAAAAAACAACTAATGCGATATGATTTCAATTATAATGATTTTAATTAATGTTTTTTTCAAAAATTAATATTAAAATGTATTTTTTATTATAATGATTAGCCTTTCGGTTTCTTAGAATCCCTAATGAGTATATCAAATTTAATATATAATGATATCACGTTATGTAATGATATATTGTAATAATGCATTATATTAATATATACACTCATAATAAAATATTAATGCGTTGATAATGTTCTTCTTTTAATTTGAATATTATGTAATTAATGATATAGTAAGTTAGCGAGTTAATAAAAATAGTAGGTATTTTATTTGTGCCAAATTATGTAGTTCATTTAGTCTCTAAATCAAAATAATTCAATAATATAATAAACATTTCATGAGAAATTTTATACATCCGATAATTATTTATAAGTATTGAAATAATTTGTAGTGTATCGCAAAATTTATTGGAATGATTTGTTTTAACAAAGTAAACTATTAATGTTAATTTCAGAATTACTTTAAAAATTTTCTAGGAGATCTAAGCACATTTTTTGGTTTTCGCTATATCGAACTTTTCACCAAATATTGATCATCGCAATCATATAAGAAGACGAATTATCTTTATAGTTCACGGTGTCATTTTTTATGAGTATCTTTCAAAAGAAACATATATATTAAAGACTTGCGGATGAGTCGAGAATGGGATAAAAATGGTAAGATTTTTAAAAAAAATTCCGTTTAGGGTTAAAGATTTAAAAATTCTGGATGGACCGTTTTTAATATAAATTAATTATGCCAATTAATAAGTATGTTGGATAAAAACACTTTACAATGGAGTGTTTAATATTCATATATTTTTCATTTTCAATTCTTCGAAACAGTCTACAAAACGGTGCCAAAATTATACTAATATTTTTTAAAAAATGAAATGATAAAAAATAATTAGGGGAGACTGGGGATAGTGTGTTCTCAGGGCAGTTATTTTCCTTATCAAATAATTTAAAAAATATAAACTTTGAAATTTTGACAAAATTATATATTTTAATAAGGTGCTTAAGTATTAGGTCTAAAGATATTTTGGACAATATTGCTCATGAAAAATTTTAAATAAAAATTTAAATTTTAACATACCAAAAAGTATATTTTTTAAAATTTTAAATTTTCGCTAATAAATTTTTTTTAGAAATTTTAAATGATAAAAAAAAATCTACATTATATCACATATTAAAATACTGACAAATATTTATGATAATTAAGACCTGGAGCAGGTTTGGGTTACAATAAGTTCTTCTGGGGGATATGTATAATAAAGGTGAACTTAATTAAATTTAACATATTTGACAATTTATTCTTATTTATTTTCTTAGAATTAATATTTTTATATAAAGAATTTCTAAAAATCTACAGTTAAAGTAGCGCGACACGCAACGAAAAAGGATAATAGGTACTCGCGATGTTTTTCATAATTCTTAAATTTTTATTTTTTTTAAAAAATTCATATTAATTACTAAAAGATTTTTTTCTTTAATAGTAATATCTAACGTAGAAATCTCTGTATAAAACTTTGTTTAAACATTTTGGGAAATTTGTTTCTTATATTTTTTATAGCACTTCAATTTTTTATGGATAAAATAACCATGGTCTCCACTAGTAATTTTTTTCCTTATAAATTAATGTGGATATTTTAATTATAAATTAAAATATTGACTTCTAATTTTATTTTTAAATTATAACTCATAACACTCCTACTTTATCATTATATATATCTCTAATAATAATAAACGATAAAAAATGGATTATAAATCTAGTTAAGATGTGCCATGATTGGCCATGTTTTTGCTCTTTTCACATAAAAGCATTGAGATTATTTAACAAACAAATTATATATTAATTTGTAGCTCAATTCTTAATCTTTAAAATAAAATTTGAATTAAAGCTCAAACTTTAATAGTTTATGAGCTAAATGAGATCATATGTTCAGGCCAGTCAAAATATGATTTGTAAATACTGAACATATACTAAGTGTTAACCAGCCATCATAATTCATTATTTAATAATTCTATTATAAATGTAACATTTTATGAGTTTTTTTTAAGGATTGAGAGATTAGAACCGTTGTCAAATAAAGAAAGTGGTAAGAAAAAAAGATACTAAATCAGACTAATATCCTCGTTAGAACTAAACTGATACTAAATCAGACTAATATCCTCGATTATATATATTTTTCTATAATATTCGTCAAATCAGAAAAGTTAGAACTAAAATGATACTAAATCTTTATTAAATAATAAGTTAAAAATATAATCAAACTAAATTAATTAAAAAAAATTAAAATAATATAAAAAAATTAAAAATTATAATTAAGTTCGTAAAATCATGATCTCTGTTCTTATACAAATATCCTCGAATATATATATACTTTTCTATAATTCATTTACATAATGTTTTACAAACAAACTGAAAAAAATCTTGAACTTTCTTTAATTTGAATAATCATTCTTTTTTATTCCTCTTTCTTTAAATCATTTGCATTCGAAATTTAATTCTTTTTTCTTGAGTAGATTTGACTATCCTTCGGCTTTGTAATTTGGTTTAACAATTACAACAATAAATATGAAATATTACAAAAGAAATACTTGTGAAAGACCTATATTAATATTTCATCATTTTTAGATTAATAAAAAATTAATTATTATTAACATGTCAATTTATCATCATCTTTTTAATGATAATGTTAATTGAAATATCAATAAATAAAAAATAATATTGAGAGAATGAAGGTCAAAATTTTCCTCCAGCTCATATTTAAAAAAATATATATACATCTAGCCTAGTTTGCATTTCTTGATATTCTTATTAGGCTCGTACTTTATATTCTTTTAATCATTCTTTTAAAGAAAGAAGCTGTAACATATATTTTAATTATAAGTCTGTAAATCTGTAAATTAATTAAAATATATGAAGGTCTTATAAAGAAACGTTCAGGTTTTAAGGGCCTCAATAATTTGAACCAATCAATGATGAGATATCATCCGTTTTTTTAAAATTATTTTATACTAATTTCAAAAGCATGTTCTAATTTGTTTGGTAAATATATATTTAGAAAATAATTTTTAAAAAAAATACTATTAACTTTAAAGCGAATTTATTTAAGCATTATAAATGGATATAATTTATATTTGTGTTGTATCTTTTATAACTTTAAAAAATAAAATGTTGTTATCTACTAATAGCTGTGGACTTTAATGTCAAAGTTGGATGTAAAGTTATAAAGATCAACAATTTCCTCAGTCCAGGAGCTCTGGATATAAATTCTGAAGCTGGTGGAAGACAATTGTTAAAACTATGCCGTAAGCTAATCTTCGTGTTGCTAGTACCATCTTCGAACATCTGGACTTCAGAGAAATATACACTTATTATAGCCCATCATATAATACTTAGTCACAAATTGACTATTTCAACTGTACTAGGTCGATAATTGATTAGATCAAAAATATTTAAGTTCTTTATCGGTAATGTTTAACTCAGACCACAAACTCCTTTCTTGCTATATGGTGATCGATCCGAAATAAGGTATAAGAAGAAAATAATACTGGCAAGTCTAATGGAAAGAACTGCAAATTACATATTAATGCTCTATGAGATCAAAACATAAAGGATGAATTCATTAAATATATCAGAGAAAATTTCCTAAGTATAAAGGACTCAGTTGACACTCTAGCCTCTACTTACTTTGGGAAAATAATTGCGATATTTTTACAGAAGCGGTGACCGTTTCCTTGCCGGGAAAAGGTGGATTCCCTGAGTGGATTTCTATCGAATCAAGGAATCTGATTGTTAGTCTCGTGGGATCAGGATATTAAAAGAAAAATAGAGCGAAGTACATATTAGATGATATTAGTCACAAACATCTAAGAGATAAGAGAAAGTATCTTGAAAATGCCACTTATATAAGTAACTCGTCCAATTCAAATGACACT